GTGCTTTATGATATCAGCTGATAATCTATTAACATTTCAGTATTTCTGGGAGAAAGGTAAAAGATATTATTTAGTAGTTCTGTCATTCATTTGTTTATTCATTCATTACGCAAATATTTAATGGTCGCCTGCTGTTTGCTAGGTGTGTTGTAGGAGGCAGAGCTACAGCAATGAACAAAACAGACAAAAGTTTCAGCTGTGATGGCGCTTCCCTTTTGCAGAGGAGAGAAGGGTTGAGAAGGGAAGAGTTGAAGAAAACCAAGTGCTAAGGGGTTTTTTACTTGCTTGGGCCACACTGAATCTGTAATTGGTCTGGCCTCTTATCTTTCAAGATGGGCTTTTTTTAAATTGTTAAATTTCTGTTTTTCACGTGAGTAACTTTTCTAACAAACGAAGTTAAACTGATTTTATGCTAATGTACAGATTCACTCTAAAACTTACATCAAGATGAGTTTTTTTTTTTTTTTTTTGAGGAAGATTCGCCCTGAGCTAACATCTGTGCCAGTTTTCCTCTGTTTTTTTCTGTGGGATGTCCCCGCAGCATGGCTGATGAGTGGAGTAGGTCCACACCTGTGATCCAAAGCCACAAACCTGGGCTACCGAAGTGGAGCATGTGGAACTTTAGTCACTCAGCCATGGGGCTGGCCCCAAGATGAGATTTTAATTAGTTAATAACTGTTTTAACATTGACCCATTTTTACAAAAATGCATCTTCTTGTATCTTGTAATTCTAATGTTTAACATGTAACCAAATATAGAGAATCGTGGTAAGAACAGGTAACGAGGCCTGACTCTCTGGGTTGTAACTGTAGATCTGCCACTTACTCACTGGGACAAATAACTCAAACTCTTTGTGCCTCAGTTTCCTCATCTGTGCAGTGGTAATAATGACAGTCCCTGCCTTCTTGGATTGTTGTGAGAATTAAATGGGTTAATTTATGTAAATCTCTTGGGACTGTGCCTAGCACAGAGTAAAGGCTCACTAAATATTTATTTAGAACAGCAACAGCATCTAAGTGAATATATCCTGATTTTACAGTCTCAAAGATTGTTCTTTTATTTATATTCCCATGGCATTTCAAATACTAAAGTAACTCAAATTGCTTCTTAAATAGACTATTCCATACTTGCAAATACATGCATGGAATGTGCTTTTTTTTAAGATTCCTAGAATTGTTTGTATTTTAGTTGTACACATAAATCACATAGCATGTGCCTAGATCCTTATCTGAAACAGCCCATGGCAGGATTCCTCTGAGCAAAATGTTTTTCATTGTTGGTTTGGGGGCTTTTAATAGTTTTCACCTTCAACTACAAAAGTTATCATGAAGAAATCACTAAAATAAAAAGCAGACTAGTGTGAACCAGTGGATATCTCCAATGGAAAGAGAACACTGTCCGTTCCAGTCATTATCCCAAGCACTTGTCCACTTTCCCACTGCAGCGCACATCATGAGGGAGGGCTGCCGAGGGTCTCCAGGCACATTCACTCCCTTTATTACAAGAAGGCTTTTGGCTCTATTTGCAGTCTGTGCCCAACAGAGCTTGGCTGAACCTCATGGAGCCCCTAGCAACTCTTGCCTTAGACAAGGCAAGCCTGAGTGGCCTCTTTGGTCCATTTCTGCTAAACTCATAGCTGATCTTGGCACGTTATGTCTCAACATGTAAATGGCGAAAAGGGAAGATACAACAAGAAGAAAAGTATATAAAGAGAGGATTGCCTCAACAGATTCTTGTTACCATTCCCTCTAAAGCGGGGTTTCTCAACTTCAGCTCTTCTGACATTTCGGACCAGATAACTCTTTTTCATAGCAGGCTGTCCTAGGCATTGTAGGGTGTTTAGTCACATCCTTGGCCTCTGCCCACTACATTCCAATAGCACACACCACCACCCCCATCATGAGAACCAAAAATGTCTCCAGACAAATTGGCTCCAGATGAGAACCACTGCTCTAAGGCAACACTAATAACATGTCCCCTTGTATCTTTGGCCTTGGCTGGCTGTGTTATACTCCTCCTCAGAGAGTTCCATGATGAACTCAGAGTCCACCACTAAACTATGTACACTTTGAAATGGACACCCAGAAGGGAAAAAACAAAACTATCCCTCTAACTACATTATAAGGCCAAGGCTCAAATCACGTTTTCCTAAAAAGATCAATTCCAGCTAAAGTAAAGAAAGTGATCTCTTCCCTTTCCTCAAAGTTAATACATTTGTACTAAAATTAATTACATCAGTAAAACAGCAGGTTTTAAAATTTTATTACTCTATTCATTTTTCTTACAGTCATGTTTTCTATAGTGAAAATGTATAGTCTTCAAGATACATCTTCAAGAAGATATCATTAATCACCTTTAAAAATGTGCACTCCTTTTAAAATATGTGTATATATTCTAGTAGTCTCAGAGTTACTGAGCTTTTTTTCTAAGAATTTTGTTCTCTCATAGACTTCATGTGGTATTTTTGTGTTCTTTGTGCAAGTTCAATTCTTTGTCATTAACCATGAACATTACAATATAAACTCATTATCAGTATATACCAAGGTAGTACAATCAGTCTATGTTATTTCTGTAGAAATCGTCATCACAGAAATACACTTAGATAAATGTAGCTGATGTACTTGCTGGTATCTGAGTTCTAAGTGATTTGCATTATGTGGTATATTTTAATGTAAACTGACTAAATCGAATAAGCTGCATGTGACCTTTTTTACCTTAGAATATTTCCCCTTTACGTAAATTGTTAAATCAAATTTAGAACCCCAGAATTATCACTGTACCTACCATGTGGTGTCCTTATTTTAACACCATAAAATGTTACCAAACAACTGCTCTTGTATTTCTTTTAATATTGAGAATTAAATCTGGATGTGAGGTTTTTTTAGCTAAGTAGTTTGAAATCTTACTGCTTTTTCAATTTTTTTATTGATTTTTCATGTCTGCTTTTATGGAAAATAATCACGTGCAAAAGGAGCCCCTTAGTGAAATATAGAATAGCATATACTTGTACTTTTCGTGTTCTCTTGCTGTTTATCTGAATATTTCTTTTAGAAGTAATCTTGGCAAATATCTCTATGAACTATAATTAGTTCATAATTTAAAAAAAATGTTTTCTTGCTTTCCTTGATTTTCATGAGCTTATAAATGCTCCGCAAAGAAATGCAACCAAACAATTAATTGGTAATTGTCAGATTTGGGAAAACTTTACATAACAGTATTAATAAAAGCTAGCTTTTATTGAATGTTTACTTTGCTCTGTGCTGAATGTAACTCTTGGCTAAATTATTCTCATATATTACTTTAATCCTCAGAGAGGTATGAATTTATTAGACAATTATGTTCATAATTGTCCCCATATTTTTTAAAAAATCGTTCCTTATCTTAGACTCTTCGTCAGTCAGTGTCTTGGGAATATCTTGTAGATGAAAAGTGTGTTATCTGACAATAAGTATTTATTAATGGGTTCAAAACTTTGCTAGACTATATGGTAACAACGTTAAAAATAAAGAAGAGGAAGAAAGAGAAGGGCCGTAAAAGGGGAGAAATAGGAAGAAGTTGAAGCTGTAATCTCCGTCTCCAGGATCTGGTTGAGGCCATGTAACCGAGAAATACCAGACAGCGAAGATTAAGGTCATCAGAGGACATGTAGTCAAGTGTGGATTGTGTGGTGGAGTGTTAGAGGAGTTCAGAGCTGGGAAAGGTCAGTAAGGCCTGAGGTTAGTGAGAGAAGCTCTGTGGGCAGTGGATTCTCATCTCAGCCTCAAAGGAAGTTAGGGTTTGGTTTGGTCTTGGGCAGTTGGCGAGTGACCAGTGATGAACAGATGACATTCTAAGTGGAAGGACAAGCATGAGAAGAGTCTTAGAGGTGAGAAAAACTGTGTTTGTTCCAGTGTAACAAATACAGTTGATCCAGGGGTTTGAAATTGTCCTGCAATTCTGACATGATTTTTAAACGCTTTTAAGAAAAGAATATTGGTTGTATTCACATTCTTTCTGATCTAAAATAAGAGAGCATGAGGGTATTTCTGGGGTTGGGGGGAGTACATAACCTCAGATATGAGCAGTCAATACACTCGGTATTCATTTGGCACTTGTGTTGCCTATGCTTTCAGGGATATAAGAGAACTAAAGTTGTTGTGTCTTTCCTATTTATTTTCTTAATTGAAAATTGATTAGACCATACTTTGCAAAATCCGTAAAAGGATTAAATATAGAAATCCAATCCAATACAAAAGAGGATAACAATAGAAACTTTTAGCAAACTGGTATGTATTTTGCTTATTGGCAGTGAATATTTCCGGACACCTTTTTCGCATTGGCATCCTTTGTTTCAGTGGTTCTCAGCCTTTGGTTTTCCTGCCTCTTTCTGACTATTTCTTCTTTCCTCCACTCTGGGTTGCATCTGATATACCCTCATAATCTCTCATTATCTAGAATTATTATTCTAAGGAGGGAGGGCCTGGAGATGATTTGTGTCAGAATCGAGGAGCGGGGTGTGGGCCATATAAAGTTTGAAAGTTCCCCTTGGAAATATTGCTATCTCCCCGTCACTGTGCCCTTTGCTATATAAGAATTTTTATACGTATTTTAAATTCCATACCTAGGTTGATATTTTTCTAGAGTGTTATTAATAAATTAGAATAAATTATCTTCGGGGCCGGCTCCATGGCCAAGCGGTTAAGTTCTCGGGCTCCGCTGTGGCGGCCCAGGGTTCGGATCCTGGGCGCGGACATGGCACCGCTCGTCAGGCCACGTTGAGGTGGCGTCCCACATCCCACAACTAGAAGGACCTGCAACTAAGATATACAACTATGTACGGGGGGGCGGTTTTGGGAGATAAAGCACACACAAAAAAAAAGATTGGTAACAGTTGTTAGCCCAGGTGCCAATCTTTAAAAAAAAAAAAAAAAAAGAATAAATTATCTTCAATAACTTAACTTGAAAGATTTTTTATTTCCACTCTCTCTCTCTCTTTTTTTTTTTTTAATTTTATTTTCTAGATCCCAAAGTCCAGGAGTGAGGGATCTATTAAGGCCCACAGGGTACCTCAACCGGAGCTATCTGATGGCGTTCCTCAGGTCAGCCTACGGCTAAGTCGTAGAAAACCCTGCTGGGATGACATGAATTCAGCAGAGGATGCTAGCAGTGCCAAGTTGGTATCCAGGTTGGCATGTTTCCTTGTTTGTTTACATACTGCATTGTCTGCTCTGACGTGTAGGCCGACATATGTAGGTATCTTTGCCTGTATCTATACTGGGGTCAACAGGATGCAGATCAGTAAAACTATTTAAAATTCACTCTTACGTTTTGAGAATTTTCTGACTGATAGTTCTTATCACAGAAGCATTCCTGGTTTGTTGTATTTTATTTTCTAGAATAAAACAAATTGTTTAATCAAGTGGACTGTGCTAGGCTCACAGTTAAAAGTTGGAAGAGTTACTTTTTGGACACCGTGTCAGTACGTTCAGTGGCCAATATTATCTGCAATTAAAGTGGACATCAGAGTTGTTACTAGAACCAATTCTCATTAACAAATTTTGAATGCTGCCTTTTAACCATTATGTTGCATATTATACCTGAGAGCAAACGTCTTTGGTACACTTGAAGAAAAAGGCATGCAATTTTCTCAAAACAGGTAAAATGGGATCTGAATCTTATTTACTCCTAGCATATAGAATGTTTCCTTTTAAGAATATTTTTATCTTTTATTATATCTTAACACCTATTTCTAAAATTAAAAAAATATCCATTACAAATACAAGACAGAGAGCTCTATAGAATTGTAAGACTTTTAAGACATTAAATAGATAAATAAGGGGGCCAGACCAGTGGCATGGTGGTTAAGTTTGCACATTCCGCTTTGGTGAACTGGGGTTCTCCAGTTCAGATCCTGGATACGAACCTACACACTGCTTATCAAGCCATGCTGTGGCAGGCGACCCACATATAAAATAGAGGAAGATGGGCACAGATGGTAGCTCAGGGCCAATGTTCCTCAACAAAAAGAGGAGGATTGGCAACAGACGTTAGCTCAGGGCTAATCTTCCTTAAAAAAAAAAAAAAGATAAATAATATAGTTAAAGAGCTTACCACTTTGGATTACCTTATAGAAGGGATGGTGTTTGAGCTGGATTTAAAAGGTGAAGACAATTTAAATAGAAAGAAGAAGAAAACAAGGCTCTGGTAGATAGGTCCAGTTAGGAGGCGTAGTGTATTTGGGAAAGAGCAAACCGGCATCCTGTGAGGAATTAGTTGGAGGCTGGCAGAGTGGAGGGAGGCCGGGTCACAGAGGACCTTGAATGGAGGACCAGCCTGAAGTATTTTTGCATTCAGTCCTTCCTTCATTAAGCAAATGTTCAGCACTTAACCTCTGGTTCCAGGAAGTGCTTCAGGACGGGGGATGCAGCAATGAACAAGGCCAACCAGGCCCCTGTGTTTGTGGACCTTACATTCTAGTGAGGGAGGCAATAGCGAGACATAGAAAAAAAGCCAGTGAAGAAGCTCATTTCATCTCTAATAAATGAGGATATTAAGAAACTAAAACAGGTTAATGTAATAGGCTGACTCAAAGACCACTTAGTTTGAGTAGGCAGGGAAGGCCTGAATTGAGACATAAAGGGGAAGAGGAGAGAGTTGGTGACAATCAACGAAAGAGCAGTTCTAGACAAAAGAACTGAGGTGGGGAAGCTTGGCTTCATCCTACAGGTAACAGGAAGCCAGTGAAAGTTTCGGCCGGGTCGGGGAGGTGATAGAAACCATGGTAAGTTGGTATATTAGGATTGATTGGAAGGAGGAGAGTTTGGAGGCACTTAGTGTTCCTTCCTTCAACAGTTAGTAATTTTTATTTCGATCTAGTTATGTGGCATTTACTTGCTGGTACTGGAGATTCAGAGAATAAGAGACATAAGTCCTGCACTTGGGGAGACAGAGGATAATGGATCAAAATTCAATAATTATCATTAAACGCACATATACTCCATGCCTATCATGTACCAGGTACTGTGAAATCGTCTGGTGATAAAGTCATAAATAAGATTCAGGTGCTCCTCTTACAAAGCTTCAAATACAGTGCGCAGGGTGCAATGCGAGGATGCAGGAAAGCACAGACCTCGTGGCGGGATGAGGGTCAGAGAAGGCTTCAGAAAGAGGACGATTTTGGAACTAAGGCTCATGGCATAAGCAGAAGTTCTCTGGGCAGGGACATCAAGAGAAGGTGGTCCTGGGAGAACAACTGCAAGTGACAGGACAGGCAGGCGGGAGGGGACTGCACCTGCAGCCGTGGATCCAGGACATCTGGGGTTTAGATGGAGAATGCAGGAGAGGCTAAAAGCGGGTTCAGAGACAAAGCTAAATAGGTCAGATCATGAAAAGCTGTACCCCATAGTAAGGAGTTGAGATTTTCTCTTGAAAATGATGGTGAGTGATTGCAGGAGAATGATATAAACAGACTTGTATTTGATAAAAGAAGCTGTGGCACCTGTGTAGAAGGAAAGATGTACAGGGCGGTCTTCACTGCGGAGAGGGAAGGGCGTGATCTGTAGAGGAACCAGCCTTGGTCAGCGAGGAAAATTCCAGAAAAGAATAAAGGCACAGATACAAAACACTGGGCCTTGTCAAAGTTTTCTTTTCTACTTTAAAAACCAGAGTCAAGTGACTGGGCGACAGGAGCTCATGTAGATGTTATCTTCCCAAATTACTTTGTAACGAATTATGCCAAGGATGCCTTAAGTGGAATAATGAAGAGGTAAATTCAGATGTTTGCTGTTTCTATCATTATTTTTATTCATCTAGTTAGAAAATGAAAGAAAAAATTTCTTGCTTCTAAAGGTGACAAGAAATGAGCTACCTGTTTTGGAGAATGAATTTGCATTTCTGGGATACAAATCAAGGAATGAGACTGGAGAGAAGGCACCGCTAGCGTTGCTGTAGCCACTATTTGTTCTTCTGGTCAGCGTATCTCCAACTAAAACAAATATTAGTATTTATGAAATTCTTATATACTTCCCAATTTTTTGAAGTACAGCCTCAAAGAACTGACTCCTGCACACTCAGCAACCTTAAAGTTTAGATAGGACAGTATTGCCCGCTTCAGACCTTGCTAGCTGCCATCACACAGAAATTCGTTCACCTTCCTGTCTCCATCCATAAATCTCTGGTGTCTGTGCAGAGATTTTTTTACTTTTTACTTTCTGTATACCTCTTAATAGACTGTGAGACAAATTATCAAAGATAAGTGGAGATAATTAAAATAAATTTGACAAAAAATAAATTTTAAATCCTTTACATATATCTTTGAAGAAACAGAATAGATATTATGCCCATTTTCGCTTCAAAAATGAATTTATGAAGCTGTTTTCATCTGCAGTTACTTTCCAAAACAAGTTATTTTTAGTCATAAATAGATAAAAAAAAGTGTGTGTTTTTTACACACACACACCTTTCTCTAAATCTTTTCTTTAGGGAAGTTTCCACTTTTCTCTTTAGCAGTTTGTTAGTCGCCCCAGTCTTAAACACAAAGCTTGGCAGTGTGTATTAAGTATATCGTGTTGCCCCTTTTCTCTAATACAATATTTACTTTGGCTTACCAACATTTTTGCAAAGAATTGTCAAGAAGCATTTAGCTGGGGTTTTCCTGGTATTGATTTTCTTTTTTTTTTTAGTTGCTCTTAGAGGGAAAAAAAAATTTCAGTGAAATCTATTCTTGGTTGACCTATGATCTGGTAAATTTGATTTACTTTACCAAAAACCCCATAGAATCACTGTTTGCACTTATTACGATCAGTGCAATGTGGCTTTCAGCAGAGTTGCCGTCTCAGTTAACAACAAAGATTAAACCAAGAAAGAACTTCTGGTGCTGAGCTTTCCGGAATGGTGAAGTGTCCTGTGATTTCTCAGCAGCGAGTTGCAGGTTGATTTCTAGGGCTTTTGAGAAGTGATTTTTGGCTAACGGTGTGTTTTTGATAACTTTGAATTTTTAGAGTTTAGACGTCATTCAGTATTTTTTCCCAGGTTGACTCACTTTGATCTTTTTTCTTCTTAGTTTCAAATCTCATACAGAGTCCCGTTGCTTCTTGAGATATGATAGAAATACGAATTCTTTTCAGCAAGTCTTCATTATTTTTCTGCTGTTCAGATAGCGACAGTAAAAATGAAATCATGGAAGAGTAACACACTTTAAAATGTGATGTTTTGAGAGTCCGAAGAAGAGCTAGATATCACTTATTGCTTATTAGCTGATTTCCATCTTGGAACATTATTTGTTTAGATGAATAAATTTTTTCCGTATTTCTATAATTGTCTAAAATTGGCATTGAGGATATAATCATATAAACAATCATTTTTCTAATCTTCAGAGGATCTCTCACAATTAGAGTGCTTCATGAGAAAAGCCTAAGGATAAATGTCTCTTGATTTTGTTAGAGCCCAGTGGAATGATCTTTTGTATACTGAATTCTGAGCCAAAGACAGAAGTGCTTAGTGACATGTTCACTTCGTTCGGTGAAAACATTAGCTAATCCATCTATATCATCTGAAACTGCATATTTATTCCTCAATACTGTTAAGAATTTTTTGTAATTAAAATGTATGTACCACAAAATTCACAATAAACTGAAAAGCACAATTTCTAATCTGACATGCCTGCTTTAAAGGAGTAGAGGCTTGTCCTTCTCCACAGTGGAAGTACCGTGGACAAGGTTGGTGGGTCAGTCCCCCGCAGAAATGAGGAGGTAATCGGACGGGTGCAGCCCTTAAGCAAGGCTAGAACATTCCAGTCCTTCTCACGACCTGTGATATCTTATTCTTTTTAAAGATGCTGAGGAAGAAAAGAACACAAAAACTAAACTATAGGTATTAACTAGTACCTAAGAAACAAGCCATTTAAAGATTTTCCTGAAAGGGAAAATTACATATCCACCCTAAAAAAGGACGAAGGAAAGCTCTGTATTATATGTAAAGTTTAAGATCTTAAAATGATTTGAAGCTTCAGCGATAACTATCTTATCTGTTTCATATGTGAAATAGATAAATGATCATTTTTTCATGTTTCTATCACTATAATATTACTTTAAGAATTTTTTTATTTTAGAACTTAAAGAATAGGATTAATATTTTTAGTCTTTTAGGTGTTAAGTAGTATTCATTGCAATGCTTTATTTGAAAGGT